TGTAAACTATTTTTCATACCCCTAGGTGAAAAGGGTGGCTCACAAAAAATATTTTTTAATATTTAAGATTTAACGTGTAAATTGTGTAATAATAATACGAACCGAGCGTACAACACGATGGTTACCAAATATTAGTATCAATATAACTTTTGAACGATTAAATACATACAATTGACATAACAAAAACACAGCATTGCAATAATATTAAGAGTTTTGGTAAGTCTTGATGGAATATTTTTGTTTTTAAAAATGCCAGCAATTAGACATACAAACTTAAGTCGCGGAACTTGGAAACTGGAATACTAGTCAAAGATACACAATATCAAGTAAATCAGGTAAAACACTTAATTTTACCAACGAAAAGGTCAGATTTCATGCTTAGATTTAAAATTGTGACAATTTACAAAACAAATAATTTAATAAAAAAATAAATAAATAGTTAATAGTATGTATATAGGTATATATATATATATATTATATGCGTGTGTGTTTTTAAATTATTTCCTATTTTCCTGTAGAGTTAAGAATAAATGTTCAAGCCTACCCCCTCCCCCGAAAACAAATTCTGGGTACGGCACTGTGCTGTGCCATAAAATAATAATAATTAATACTCATTTTCTTAAGTTTTTAGTGGACATTAGTTTTTTTTTTGTTTTTTGGTTGTATATGGTTAATTTTGCAGAACAGATTTAAGCATGCATCACATCGAATCTTCGCACATTGCCTACCTAGGAGGTTGAGTTGCACTTTAGTCGCTCATCGGAGTGTCCACAATCAAAATAAAAATAAAATAAAAATAAAACATATTATTCATATAATCTTATAGATAGTAATATATAGTATGCACCTAGCGAGGTTTGCAATCCACCGCAGGTTGCTGGCATTATAACCATCAAGTCTCTTATATAGAGATGACATTTTTAATAGGCAACGAAGTGCACGGGATCAGCTAGTATATAATATATATAAATAGATTACATCAAAATGTATACAATTGTATGTTACTATTTAGTAATTATTATGTATCGATGTCAATGTACAGTGTGTGTGTCTGCACTTCGTTGTCTGCTCGGTTATATGCAGATATCTAGCGTTCTCGAACTACGAAAAATATTGGACTCGCGGAATGGCAACCTTGTAAAACGGAGTTGATAAAGAACGTAGGACTTTGCAGAGAGACGAACTTAACAAACGGAGTCGGATGTTGCGAAGGACAAACTTTGCGAATTATTTTACTCCACGTTCACAATTCTCTGGCAGAAATATATTCTACGAGCAACATTCACCAAAGATTTTCACACGAATCTTTGGGACCTCTTCCAAACCGATCTACGTGTAGGTTTACTCGGAATTTCCTCTGACACGTGATACACTGGGGCCAGATGCCAGAAGCCTTAGCTCTGGCGACCTCTGGAAATGTCCAGCAAGTTAGTATGTGGTGGCTCGCAGACAGCTGTGATTCTCCGATCGATGGCCAAGTCCAGTGCTTCGATCAATAAATATCGGCGGTCGAGTTGCAAGAATGTTGGAGTGTCCACGTAGGCGCGGTAACTCTGCAGTCTCGCGAAAGGTCGGCACCGGTGACGGTCTCTGCAATGACGCGATACACAGCTGGTGATTCAATCCTGAGCTCGGGTGATGACTTGGTACGTCAATTGTATATTTTTGATATAATCTATTCTATTTATATATATATGAACTTTACCTGAGTGGATCACCAAATCCTAACCTAAATTTGTTTGGAAGACAACTCATGTAAAATGCATTCTAGATTTCTCTCTCTTAAACTCTTCTGAATTGCATCACATTATCGTCTCATAAATCTCGGTAGGTATATTATGATTATTGTGGCTATGATTATCGGTTCAAGAACTACTCCACTGACTTTGACGAACATTTCGGTTGGAATGAGTAATGACTGACATTGAAATGATTCAACATTTTAATATAATAATTTGTATTATTTTATCTTTAAATCTGTGTAATTATAAAATAAAAGTCTAATCTTGATTGATCAATATCTACATTCTACGGACAGCTGAATATACCTACAATAGCTAGAGATTTTGGAATAAATCTAATTTAGCACCCACTTGAATTTTGCAATTTTTTCTTCTGAAACCTATGTGTTGAAACGAGTTTAGAACGATGGTGTAAAAGTTAGTTGGATGCAAACCATTATTTTGGAAGTTATAGCCTTCCAAACTTTACGATTTTACATTTATACTCATGTGCACAACTCTCTATTTTACAGTGCTTACAACGAATTTTAAATAAAGGTTGAATTTTGGAAAAAAGCATTTTTCGGATCGACTGCTTAAAATCACATCTTACTTTTTTTTTTGGAAATCTACCACATTCTATACCGCCATACAAAACCATCAGCATAGTTGCCATTCGGATATAATACTAAAAAATGACCTTTAGTACATTTCAATGCATTGGGCCTTGCAATAAGGCCCCATGATTGTAGCAGAGATGACTGTCATCGACAACTCCCCGTTTTCTTTATGCTCGAATAAATTAAAAATCGGACATTCGGACCACACCACATATTTAATTAAAACAAAGGTACTTGCTACTTTAACTAGAGTACTGAACTTCTGAGTTATGACAATATGACAAACAGTTAATATTAATTTATAATTTTAATAGCTTTAATTTAATAACAATGCCAATGCCAAATAGTTTTATCTTTGGTATTTTAATTTCCCCAGCACGTATCGCCACACCGCCGTAACACAATCTAAAAGTATACCTTTGATATATTAATAGTTTAATTTAATTTTAGTATAATTATTATATAATAATGAAGGTTGACATTTAAGGATGGCCAGTTAAAGTAACATAATTCACCAATTATAGTATGTAATACAGTATTGTAATAGCTCCCTTCACCTACCGGCTCCGGTCACCTTACTCGAGGTCCTCCTCTACTAAAGTAGTCAACCTGGAGGGAGTGAGGGGGGAGAGCATACCTGCCCTCTGGGCAGACGGATAGCATAACACATGAACTTAACTTTGTTAATTTAAGTAACACGGCGGCTCCGGTCGCCAAACTCTAGGTACTCCGCGCCGTAGTATAAGAAATGTATATGTTACCGCCAATGATGATAATTAGGTATTGTTAAAAATGACTAGTCTATGTTAACACTGACTGTTTTACATAGGTATTGATATTATTGGCTAGTCTTTTTAGAGAATACCTAACTAAGATAGACAATCATAGAACAAATTTAATATTAATACATAATTTCTATGATTGACCAGTCATTGTCATTATTGACTAATACTATGTAGCCATTGATAATTTTAGATATAATATATTATATTTACTATTTAAGAATAAACAATGAAAAAAAAATATAAGAAAAAATTAATTTTTTCATAATAATTATTATTTTAATACTTGTATGTTGATTATTGATTATGACGTATGGGTATCACTTATTCTCGCATGATAAGCTGTTATGGCATTTCGATGTACAAAGCCGGTTATTAGATCTACAAGTACATTTATTTGTTTTGCATTTTGTTTTGCAGTGGCACCGTGCACAATGCATACAAAGACTTAAATATATCATAATAGTTTCCTTGGTAATATTAGAATATTTTGTCTTTAATTCATAAACCATGCGGTCCCTACCACCATGACCTATTGCAATGTGACTATCGTGTAAAATATCAAATAATTCGTCATTTGATACATAATAGTGTACATTTTCTGAATTATTACTTATAGATTTAATAAGTCGTTCTTGCCCATTGAGTGTTATTATATCATACTTACGAATGTATCTGTAATCCTTTGCACTTTTCTTCCCAATTTTTTCCTTAGGTAATTTAACTTCTTGCAATCTTAACATATATTCTTCTTTGTTTAAAAATGATTTATTATCTTCACGTTTATTTTTCAATAAATCAGATAATGCTTTGTAAAATTTTTGACGCATTTCATTTGAATTCATTTTTTTAATAAAACAATTCAACACTTTTCGAAATGAAAAACTATACAAAACTATAAACTATATTATACGAAAGTACAACGTAGACTGTAACAATACTTATGTTAGGTTAGTTGCCGTGAGTATTAAAACTATAAAAGATACCTATTATTATTCGTTATAAAACAGATACCTAATCTTAACGTGGGTTTTTAAAGTTAAAACGATAAAAGATAACATTGACTACACGACGATAGGATATGTTATAATAACTAGTGAATTTATCAAATTATAACATCGTCTGATTTATCAAGTCAATGTTACAAATATATGTTGATTATAGATAATGACCAAGTTACCCAGGCATTATATTAATTGGCTAGTCAATATCATCATTACCTGAATTTACGACATTGACGGTAACATATATATAAATATAGGTATATGTTTATATTTCTTGTACCATGCTCCGCTCGACATTAACGTAGTATTCCGCGAGAACGTATTAACGTAAAATCGTAAAATTTGGAAGGCATTAATGGTTTGCGCCAACTAATTTTTGCACCATCGTTCTAAACTCGTTGAAATATTTAGGTTTCCGAAGAAAAAATTGCAAAAATTCGAGTGGGCGCTAAACTAGAAAATTATGCCGAGATTTTTTATCTTCATGGCGCCTTCGTTTGACATGTAGGAGTGCATTAGAGATTTTTAGAAAATCCACATTTTAAAGATAGTCTAGAGTACACTTTTTTTCAAAACGAATTAATGTGTACGAGCAACGAGTAACGACAATGGACGTTGCAGTATACATCATAGAGTAATAAAAATTATTATCTAAGTGTTTGCACACATCGAGATGAATAATATTTATACAATGCATTATTATATATATTTATATTTAAATTGTTTATCTATCACTATAATATGTTTGTGAGATAAAATTATTGTTTATTGGCAGTGGGTAACCGTGGTTGCGGCGGACGTTCTACACAACTTCAACCGTGGTGGTAAATGTCAACGCCGCAAGCGCTCACACCGGGACGGTGTTTCGTCATCATCGTCAGATGGTCCGTGACAACATCATCGCCGCGAATCGCGATACGTCCCGAGTCGGGCTATTCCTGGAGCGTCGTCAAAAGAGATTACATATTATATTATTGTTGTTGTTATTGTTATTGTTATTACGTTTGTCTTTTACGCACGCTTGTGCGTAGAAAATCGGCAAAACATTTATTATTAATATGTAAATAGTAAATTCGTCTAAACTGCAGCCTGCAGGCGATCGAGTGACGACGACGCGGCGGCGCGCACACAATAATTCCGTAATTATTTCTGTCGTCGTCGTCGTCGTCGTCAAGTGACTCGTCGTCGTTGTCTTCTCGTCTCTCGTCGGAGTACGGCATTCCGCGAGACGCCGCGTTACGGCCGTTTTCGTAACGCGTGCGACGCATTGAGCCTGTAAACTTACCGCCGGACGCCGCCATGCCGGTCCCCGATGACGTCGAACGCGGAACGATGTGACGTCGCGTTGGACCTGTGCCAGGTAATTCAAAGCTTACACCCACAGACCGTGGGTTTGTTTCGTCTACTACCTCTGTCTACGCCCGTCTGGGTCAGGTTGACAGCCTGTGCTTTTTTCCGCATCAGCGCGGCACCGCTTGCCGCCGCATCGGCGTCTGTGTTGAATAATGTTATTGCAGTGTTATTACGCAATCCGACAAACGCCTACAGCCGAATAGTGGCGTACGTGCCGCGGTAACGAGATAAGAACGCAGTACGTTACGTCCGTACCGGTATTCGGTATTTGACGAAACATCGGAATTTCGCACTTGGTTTAAGCTAAACGACGATGTTTCGCACTGTTATATCTTGTCGTCTATTGCATTTCAGTTGTGTGACTTTCGTTGCCATGGTTACACCAATGAACACCATTGTTGATTCATTGAAAATAAACAACATTAGGAGGTACATGCCATGTTTTGTGATTTGTTGACATTCATTACTTGACTTGAGGCTTTCCTTCGTTTGTGTGTACATGATTTTCATGTCTGCATCATTCGGGTTTTGCGATTTGGAATGCACCTGTAGTAGGTATGGCTTTGATTTTACTTTTCTGTGCACATTGTACCATTACATTAACATTCTGTTTTGCAAAAATACCATGGCATATCGTCCCAAACAATAGAATTGTTTAAGTACGCACACATTACCACAAAATATGACGATATGATATTACTCAAAGCACTATCCTAACCCAGCCAAATTGTCATCCACAAATTCTATTTTTCAGTGGGTAAATGTGCTTCATGATGTTTGAATTCGACTAACTTTTCAGGTCATTTTCAATAGTTGTTTTATAGGTAAATGGCGTAAAAAAAATACTATAGTATTATGAAATCCTGTTAAATTTTTGGCAGCTGTGTATATGGGAACAAAATGTGTAAAATATATTTCTTAATTGACACTGGTTACAAGACTGTAAATATTATTTACAAAAGATTCAATATTAAATTGAACATTTTAGTATTAAACCCTAATCTATGCATAAATAAAACACAGTGTTTGTTAGTACTTAGTGAGCAATCCACAGCAAAGTCTATCGCTCCTATGGTTGGTTTAAGGATAGGATAGTCCTCATGTAAATCCATAGTTTTCGACAGATTTTCATTAAACATTAGTCAATAGATTTAGCTAGATCTGTTGTAATATCATAGAACTTAACTATTTTGTACTTTTCAGCACATAAATGTTGAATTTAGTTGATTCATGAAAACCCATCATTTTAAGTTTATTTATTGTTGCCATTGGTTATAGCTGACTATTTATTAATTTTTATAGTTGGATATCATTTTCTTTTAGACTGGCATTTAATGTTTGGCCAAAACAACCCCAATAACTGTTAAAAATCAGGCTAGCTTATTTTTAACGGAGCTTAAGAGGGGGCAAATCCACAAGCATTTAATTTGTCACAGACAACATCAAGCAGGATCAGCTAGTTTATGTATATATTTATATGTATATTGAAGCACATATTATGTTAGAAATGTTTATCTTGTAATACATTTAGATTGAGTACTTTTTGGTGCATTTGTACTGTTGTAGAAGTGTGTGTTAAGATGATGTAATAAGTTCATATTCTTTGTTAAAATTGCTATAATGTCCAATTATTGACCACTATCAAATCAAAATTTCTAAATATTTACACAAAATAAAAACGTACTCGGGTAGTAGCCCAAAACTTGTTCACTTATTTCTATTTGCCTGCTGATTGGCTTATGAACGTTACAGCTACTCACTATAAACTACTTACTGGTATCTTATTTCACAAACAGTGTTCCAATTAAAGACTTTAAATTCAACAATTTTTGATATTAAATTAATTACTTATATTTTTCAGGTCAATATGTATCAAGACTGAACAAATATTTATGAATATTGAAACAAATTTAGTCATGGCAATTAAATACAACCTTACTAGAGTTGTATTTCATGTCAAAAAACCAAGTCAATACTGTTTAATCTAGTCCATATAAATACTATACAAACAAAATATAATTTATACATCTACATAGTTATGTGATTGTAAGTTTTTAAATTAACATTATAATTTATACTGGAATTAAATAGTTTTCATATTTATACAGTATAAAAATGCCCAGAAGACCATTGACAGATGAACAACGAGAACAATCTAGAAAACGTCGCTTAGAACGTGATCGTGAACGACAACGAAAAAGACGTTTAGATCCAGAGTTAAGAGCAATTGAACGAGGAAAAAACACGATTGCTAAAAGATTATCTAGATCTAAAGGCCTCTATGGTGATAACATTAATAAATTATATTCAGAAGCTAACATTGATTGTAGTAAAATGACATCATTGTAAGATAAATAGATAAATAAATAGGTAGATTATTTTTTAACATTTTAACTTATATTATATTTTTAGATTAGACAATGAAGATATTATAGATTTGGAAGATCTCAATCGATTAAAAAAAGAAAGAGATAAAGAAAGACAACGTCAAAGAAGAATGGATCCTGAATTCCGTGCTAAAGAACGTGCAAGAAATAGAATATTGAAAAGGATTGCTCGACAAAAAAGTTACTATACTCTAAAGGTATAATATATAACATAATATATTTTGGTTTTATAATATCAGTAGTCAGAAAAGAATCGATAATCCATTATCCTAACAGGCCAATTTAGGTAGAAAATATTTATTCTTAATTTCTTTATAAGCTCATATGTGAACTCTTTAGGTCTCAATATTATTTTGTATTTTAAATTATCTTCTTAACACTTTAATGATGCTATGTGTTGTCTCAGACCAGCAAATGTAAAGTGTACCAAATTTGAGTTCAGCAGCTACAATTTTGTAGTATAATTTATATTAAAGTGAATTTACATAAGCTTAAGCACAAGTGGCAGCAATGAGCATGGCTAACACGTGATGAGTGTTGCTCTCTCTGAAGTGTCTTTATTATTCTAACAATTTCCTAACTTGCATTTTGCTAAAATTAACAAAGTTAAGTAATTTTTTGGGTGTAGCTGATCGTCAGAAATAAAAGCTGACAATGTCACAAAAACTGATTTAATTGCTAGTGATGGTCTAATTAAAAAGTTGAAGTTGATTTTATTTGAGACAGAAAAAAAATCTCCATAAAAAAATAGCATTTACAATAAAGTAAACAATAAATTAATTATACAACTTAATGCAGTAAATCCAGGTGTAAATTATTTTAATGCAGTAGTCAAAAGATTAAAACAAGATGACTAACAAATTTGTCAAATATCATAATTTAAAAATGCTCATAATATATTGTTAAAATTTAAAAAAATATAATATATAAATGAAAAAACAGTTAATGTTTTTTCCTTTAAGTTTAATAATTGGTCAATTCACTCTAATATATTCAAACTAACAATACAAAATTGGAACTGCTTTGCTATGGAGTAAGACTGTAAGATGGTGACAACACATGTAGGTATGGCATTCTCTTAACCTTTAAAGTTTAAAGAGTACAAGTATACAACATTATAAATTTATAAATTTGCATTCGGCAGGACAAATTTTGTGGATACTCGCGTGCATTATAAATCTGCCATTGTTTGAAATCAATCGTTCAAAATGTTTGTAAAACTTAGGCTTTGGAAAGCTAGTAAAGGAGCTAGGTTGAGTTGTTATATAGTTACTAAAGAAAATGTGTTTTCCTGTTATCTAGGTCATTCACTAAAATATTATAGGGAAAAAAAGTACCAATATATCTTGAATTAATCAATATATATTCGTAGGTAGTAAATTGTGAATGCTGTGGAGAACCAATAGAAAGTGACCATGTATGTTTTTCCAACATATTATCAGTTGAACTCCACGAGATTGATGTTGCCCATAGTACCATAAAAAAAGTCATGAATGGTACCATGAATGATAGCTAACATTCTTTTATTTTATCAACATTTTAAGTTTTATTTTTATTTTTCTCACAATTTTTTTCAAATTTTTTAAAAACATCTTAATTTGAAAGTTGAAACATACTAAAATTACAATTTTGTTTTTTATTTTTTGTTTTGTTTGAATAATTATTTAGTATGTGTTATACGATTATGTGTGCTTTGAGTTTAAATGAAACATTATGTGATATCACACTTAAATTTTACATACTCTTTTACAAGTATTTGAATACTGTGTGTTGTTAGAAATAGATTAACTTATAACAGTTTAAATGTTTTTGTTAACAGTACACCATTGTACTACTGCTAACAATCAATTGTAACTAGAAATTTGGACGTTAATAACTTTAAATTAAAACTATTATTATTTAAATTAAATATTCTTAAACATATAAACATGTTGATGGTATTCTGATGCATATTGTCATCCTTAGGGTGGTTCAGCGGCACAGTCAACACCATTTGATGTATAATAATTTTGTACGTGTAGCTGAAATTTATTTTATCATTGGCTAGTGCGATTAAATATATATTTAAAAATATGCATTCATAATATTACGCCGTTCAAAACTATGACCATAAATTTTAAGAGTAGTTATTATATGTACGCATTGAAGTGCGAACCACAAAGAGACATACACAGCAAACATGTTACAAATATTTTTTAATTTTGATAGATGATTAAAAGTACTTCTAAATTGAAGTATATTTAATATTTATTAAAAGTAAAATAATATCTGTAGTTATTCCTATTTTAACACATTTGCTGCGTATCATATATTCATATTTGTGTATACACTACATGTCTCGTGATGCTGACAAAATTGGGATTTTGAAAATTAAAATATCAATGTATGTCTTGAATGTGAATTATGATAAAATACTTATAGGGGACACTTACAAAATACGAGTAGTTTTATTGTAACACTGACCAAATTATAGTGTATTTAATAACAAGGTTCATGAGGCCAATTGGCGTTATTCAGCATATGTGAACAATGTTAAATGAAGCCATCTCTTGTCATCCACATTTCACATTTTAAGAAAAACACAATTTGAATTAAAAATTTTTTTTAAATGTTACATTAATATTTTTTATTTTAAATTAAATAACCTATAAAACACTTAATATTTTTTAAATTTCATTATTGCTTATAATTAAATGTCCAAATTCTAGATAACATGGCTATTTCAAAATGTTAACAAATTATATTGTTTTTTATGTATAATTAAATGTTTTATTATTATTTCACATTTTCAATCAAGACATCAATTATCACTACCATAACTAATATTTTCTCAATTTTTGTACGTTTTATTTTTGCTCAATAATTTTTTTACTTATTGTGGTTTAATTAAGATTTATTTCTAACCATTATGATCTCAATTCTATTTTTACTGTATAAATAATTTATTCATTTATTTTTGTTATGGTATGTTTACATATTATTCAATATTATACAATACACCCCATACATAAAAATGACTTTATTTTTTGTGATACAAATTTAATTAGTCTTAAACAGTGTTTTAGTTGCAAAAACCAAATTTTTGCAGAATAATTAGAAAGACAAAGATGTATATTTTACACTACAATAGACTTACCATTGCACTGTATGATTATTATTTAATGAAAAAGTTGCAAAGAAATTGTTTAGTTTATAAACATTGCTTTAGTATTGAAAATTGTAATCACAATGTGTAAAAATAATATACATTGTGATGATTCGATAAACTGTGATGAGTTGATGGAAGTTATTTATTTATAATTTCAAGTGTTGTAATTATAATTATTAACTCTTACATTGGGTAGTATTTTTCTAGAAACATGAATAATATGTTTGACTTTTTGGCTCATGTTTCAGAAAATTAAAATACAAAATTTGATCCGTTTTCAAATTTGAACAAAGATGTTAATGAAAAAGGGAGAGTGTCAATCTATCCTGTGTTAACAATTTAAGTAACACATAAAAGGAACTTAGCTCCACGAACCTTTTATATAATACAAATTCAAAATTCATATTGTTTTTTGTTTTAATAATTGTTTGGTACTTAAAAATTTAATTAAGACTTATAATTTTATAGAGTCTACTACAAAACAATAGCCAACGTTTAGTGACTAAACTAGTAAAAACAAGACATGTAAAGTCTTTCTTCATAACTCAATAGTTATTATTTAATGTTTATAAATAATTATAATTTATTAGTTTAAATCACGGTTATATACTTTTAAATAAACTCGTCCGGGGTGATTTTTTTTTACCGTGGATCAGCCTCAATTCAACTAATATTTGTTAACTTGACCACAAATTATTATTTTTGTATATCTACCCTCAGTTAGTTAAAACTGTACCAATTTATGATTTTCAAACTGCCACCTGTAATTTCAGTTTCAAATTTTGAAAACAAAAATTGTATAGACATTGATCAGTAATCGGGATGACAGTAATTAATTGTAGGTAACAAATGTTTAACGGGGCAGAGGACAAACATTTATCGTCCATTTTTAGATTAACCAATGATGGTGAAATAATTTCAATACTAATAATTAGCAATAAGTCAACACCTCTCACCAGTTTCCACCCCCCAATCACTTCTATCAATCTATTTTTGTTCTTAATTTCGCGTATAAATTACAATATCAATTATTAGGCACTGTATGAAAATCACGAATCGGTACTATTTTGTTACTAATCAGGAGAGGAGGATCAAAATATTACAAGTTATCAGTTTAAAAAATATGTTGGCTGGTCGACGTTAGGAAAATCGCCGCGTCGACAGTTGGATTTCTCGTGCCTCTTATATTCATTGGCCATTGGAGATGATTAATGATTATAATATACACACACAGGCGCACAGGTGGCCGGGAGGTCACTACTTAACAGGTAATAACCAAAATATGCATTTGTTTAACTATTTGACCGCCATTTGCAAATTTTTTAAATAGACCCTATCTAGAGTCTCATACAATTTTATGACTATTCTCTAACGTACGTTTTTTCCCTAGCCTCTACCAACCGCTTTCTGCAAATTTTCTTTTTCCGAATATTCGGTTCGTTTATTTTAATTTATTTGCCCCCACTCAGAATTTCTTTGACACCGGTTCGACGGAAATTCTATTTTTCGTACAAGTAGTTGGCTAAATGTTTCCACAGACGACACTTAGGACGCCTTTCCGTATTTTTTTATTTTAATATTGTTATGTCGTAAATCATAAATTATCACAGTGTTGCATGGTACAAACACAATACCTACATTTCAACATTGCTTATAATTTAAAATTTTTCCGAATACAAGTAACTATCATTTTTCGATTCTGAAAGGAGTCAAAAATATTGATTGAAATCATATGATCACTATGATGTTTATAGATTCTTGAAAATGTCACCAAATGTTTATATTAGCATTTTTAACGATTCTGAGCAATGATTGAAGGATTTATATTCGTTACCCCCTTAAAGAAAAAAAACAATCAATAATATCATCAATTAACCTGGGTCTAGGACTACGCGTTATTGACTATTGACATGTGCGTGCACATGGGCGTTCCTCCATTTATTTTACGCTGCAGTCACACAACTAATGATCATGATATAGTTTGCACATTATCCTTTGAAGTGTGAACAAATTTACAGTCATTCGAAGTTTTGGTATTGCCTATATTAAACTCCTTAAAAACTGGGTATCGGTAATAACCCCTGAAAGATGCCACACCTAAGTGTGTATTGTGTTGTCTTCGACTTATATAACATGGCGAGAACAAATTTTTTAAAGGTAGACATAGTTAGCTAATTTACTAATCAACTTATGAACTTAACTTGGTTTAATTGACAGTTAAAATAACTTAGCTTTTTTCAATTGGTTTAAAAATAATTCATTAAGTTTTTTGAAATTTGTTGGTTTATGGTTTTATGCATAAATATTAATATTAAAATAATAATACAAATTATCCAATTCTCTAATAATACAAACTTTTCTGTTATTTTTTTTTTGATAAAATAATTTTGTGTTTAGATAATATTATATTTTCATAGATTAGATAGGCATAATATTATATGACCTTAAATTCCTATTTGATAAAAAAAATAATATTTGTTAAATTATTAATTGAGATGTGTATAGTTTAAATATTTAATAATCATGTAAACGTGAGTAAAATAGGTGTATACGTGTACATAAGTTCGATGAAATTGTTTATAATAAATAATAATTTAGGAAATTATCAAGAACGCAGTCACTCTTAATGTGATAAAAAGTTGATAAACTTTTAACTTATCGAGTAAAATGTATGATTTTCTAATAGCTAGGTACCTGTTAACTTCTAACTATTGATCTTGTGTTCTCTTAACCTAACTTGAGTTAATTATTTTCATTAACTTCCCCATCTTTGAAATGTTGTGTGGTTATAGGCTAATTAGTGAATATAATAGTAAATTTAATTATTAACAAACTTAAAGGTACATTATCTGTGTTCTCTCATTGCTTTTTACAATTTGTGATACTTTTATTTTTTAAATGGTTCATGGGTATGTGCAATACAAAAACGTTCATAACTCGATTAAAAATTTAAGTATAGAACCAAGAGTAAACACAGATAATGTTTTTATCTTTAAGTTAGATCATAGGTATCTAAATTCATATTAAAGCTAACCTACAAAATTGGTTCTCTTAGGTAAACGAAAATTTACTACTTATGCCATACGTTAGTACTTATGTCGGAAACAACACACGCATATGTGGTGCTCTCATAAGGTTGTTTTATAATATAGGTAAAATTGGTAATTATTATTACCTATAGATTTCGAAGTACCTAACCTAAAATGGTTATATTTTTACGATCTCTTGTATAACCAATGAAATGGTGACAGTAGTTTTGATGTTAAAATTGTATTATAATTTCATAACATTTCGTTACGGCCTGGTCCGTACCATAATACCCTATAATAGTAATGCCACCCTCTAAAAGTACCCCAACAGTGTTGAGTGATGTCACAAATTGTTTTCAAACGAACTGAATCCCCCGCAAAGGCTGCTTGAAAAGAACAATTCTCAGATTTTTCAATTTTTTGGGGAACTTGAGTTTAAAAAAATTGGACAGTTTGATAATTTTGTTTACTTTGTGTGGAGGATTTAAATTCGTTTTCAGAATACTTGGTCGTTGCAGAGCCATCATCAAAACTTACTTTGGAAAATATAAATAGGTACGACTAAATTAATAGAACGTACCCTAAGAAATTTGTGAATTTTAAAAATACTGATTTAATGCCGAACCCTGTTTATACCTTTCTTATAACCGTGATTTAATCAACACAATAATTATTGTTTATGTTGATGAAAAATAAAAAATATCCCCGGTATGTAGTTAGCGGGAATAAAACGCATCGGATCAAAAATGCAGCCAATGGAAGTCACTGAAAGTGCGTAAGTCGGCTTATATTCCACACACAAGTACATAACAATAATTTATATGGAACTTTTTCTGCTAAACATTAAATACTTAGGCATTATGCATTATATTATTTATATTGCGTATTACTATTGAACCTGGTTGACTTAAAATCAAATTCACATGTATTATTGATTATTTGGTTATAAATTATGACATCATTTTGAGATCGAAGATATGAGTTAAATAAAATATAGTTAAACATAACTTTATGTATAATTTAAACTGTTTGCTCCCCCCACCCTCCTAAGACATTTCTAAAAACGCCCCTAAGGCTAACTACATTCTTTATAAGGTCTTTGCTCAAATCGTTTTTCTTATACTATTATAAAGTGATCATTAAATTCAAATTTAACACATCCGCTTCAGTCCCCACGACACCTAATGTATTACAGAGCGGTACCCACTTGCCTACCTTTTATCCATCAATTGATTTTCGATGGTGATGATGTAAGCATGTGTGTATTACTATGAATCTTTCCGTTTAAGCGTTACATATTCCGCAGGGAAAAAGCTGTCGGAATTCCCAGTTTTTGTTTTTTTAATCGCATTGACAATAATTGGTAATGTGTTATAAAAATTATTAGACTTTGCACTATTTATGGTTTCTGCAAAAAATGAAACAATAGCTAAACAAAAATCGTTGAAATTTATCATTTTAACACTTTTATTAGTATTTTATAACACTTATAACAACAATAATGGTTCAAATAGGTACCTATACTGTAAAATCTTTCTTTTTTTCTTTTGTAAATAATAATCTTTTATCGTTTCAACGATTATTTGGTCTTAACCCACTAACCCCAAAGGAGCAATATATGATTTTATATAAAATCAGAGTGATTATTTTCATTGACGTCACACTCTTAATAATCGCACCATTATTCGTAATAATCATTATAATTAAAATAGTGCCGAAAAGGGCAATTACGGATCAGTTATATCCCTCCAACCTAAATACGTTTTTTCAATCAGGAATTACTGATTATTTACTGATATTTTGATTTTTCTGTACGGTTCTATAAAATGATATTAAATATATATTGAATTTAAGATGTTTTATATTATCGTGAGTATATTATTATTCTTGGAGACTTGAAATGTTTACGTATATTTTTATAATTTACCATACACAATAAACTGTTCGAAATATTTAGATTAGTGTTAAGCTATAACCTACCTAGTTATACCATGGACTTATTTATGCCATTCTATTGCAGTAATTTGATTTTGATTCAAAAGTTAATAACAATTAATATATGATATAAATATGTACTATTATAATAATCAATAATACAATTAGTACGATGTTTTCGTCAAAATGACTAAAATAAGTAATTAGGATTTAATAATAAAATTCTGGTATATATATTAAAATATATTAATTAATATAAGCTGACATGATACGTTTACGTATGCAATAATCTATCATTGAGTACAAATTTAACAAATCCATTACACTATTACAGAGACCTACACATTGTCGATGTACACTCCACACCTACTGTAGTACTGTTCAGGTTTTAATGTTATATAATAAGGAGGTTCCTGTTTAAAAAATTAATTTTTTAACTTTAGCTTATTTAACTAATTTTTTTTGTATCTTAAAAATTGACTTTATTAAGAGTGAGTTCATGTTTTGATTTACGCATGTAGTATAGTTTATCGTAATATTTTGCATTTTTTTCCCGGTGAAACGTGATGAAATATATCTATAAAAAAAACTAAGGGCACACATTTTTTGTCACATTGTCGTCTTAATCGCTTTCAACACTACAACATGTTGCTGAAAATATAAAAAATAAAACACACAATCTTGAGGTCAAATGTTGCACTTGTTCG